ATCCATTACGTTTCTGGGGACCCCCTTCTTTATCTCTAGTGACCACCAATACTGGTGGTTAGAGATTTGTTTTCTCTTTTCTGGGTTTTCGTTAAGAGAACCAATGTATCTAACAGCCTTTGGTTTCTCTGATTTTTCTTCTGGGATTTTTACAGGTCCATAATTTCTACTGTAACTAATTAGCTCTTTTGCAACTTTTCTCTGTGTCCAAATTTTATGGTTGCTAGCAGGAGAACGCAATTGTAAACCTGTCGGCTGAGAGGGGGTGGTGAAGGGAGTAAACCCAGGATCAGTGGAACCAGGTTGATCAGTCGGGTTCCCAAGAAATCTATCTAGTCTATCCACGGGCGTTATAGCTGCTGTGGGTTTTTTTTTTGGTTTTTTTTTTGAGGAAAATTGCTGTAGGTTTAAGTGATTCTGGAAGGCCTTGAATTAAAGGGGTCATCATTTCAGGCTTCACAGGTAACTGCATTAGCAATTCACAGCCAGCAGTAAATTTTCTGTCATGTATCATTTGCAAGCAGGCAGCTTTGTGAGTGTTTTCCAGTAGCTGGTCAGGGGTACTCACTATAGCTATAGGGTCCCCTCTTTCCAATGGGTTAAACCTCCCTGCACAATAAGCTGTGTGCTGAGTTAGGGACCACGGGTTACGTCCATCTCCTGCTGTTAAGAAGACTCCATGTCCCCAGTACCCACTGGCTTCCCGTTCTCTCAATGGAATTCGATCACCTCCAGTGAGAGACACTCGGAATACATATTTTGTCTCTGATTTGTGCACGTACTCCTTTTTTAACTTAGCCAATTCAGTAGCAGTGTACGGGGGTTTTTTTAGTGGTTATGTGCGGATCAAGATCATCTTCATCATTGATATAATTAAATTCTGTTTTAATTAGACGTTTCAAACTAGGACACCAGTGTTCCCCACAATTTTATCTGAGTTAGCTTCTTTTGAGGGTAAATTTGATTAATGAGAGGGGTTTCCCTCTCTTCTGTTTCTTTTAGCAAGTTAGCATTTTTGAATTTTTATCATGGAGGGCTGCTCGCAACAGACTGATCTTACTCTTTTCTTCATCCAATTGTTTTTTGCAAAATTTTAACTAGCTTTTGGAGGGAGTTTATTATAGTTTTTTCCTCACTTCTTCACTTACACTGACTTTCTATAGCTGCTGTAAGACAAGCTCCCAAAACTGAGCAGAGTATAGTTTTATTTTTACCCAGTTTAAATTTTGTTTCATGTTGCAAAAAAAAAACATACTCTATCAATCACATTTTCCAAATTAAACCAACAATTAAGCACCCATTCTTCCCCTCCTGGAGAAAGTCTGGCATTCTGTTTTGCTAACAGAGCATAAAATGCAGCATTAACTTCTGTACTGCCGTTTTCAGTCATTTTTACAAAGGGAAAACCACTACAGGGAGGTATAAACTTAAATTATACACACACACACAACTTTTTGTTTCCCTGTATGGGTAAAAAGACCAAATCTGCTTGGGAGACACTCCTTTAGTTTAAAATTCTGATTGTCTCTTTGCTACACCAAGCAGTCAAAATTCATACACACAACAACAACAAAAACAGTCCCGCCCTTTTGCACTAAGAGATCTTTTGTGAAATTCTGCAGACAGAGCCCTCAAGTGAGTGTGGGGTGATTTTCACCTCAGTGTGTGCAGTTTGTGGGAAATTCGAGTTGCCCCCCTTGCTTTCTAGACACCGCTCACTCTCTTGGGAGTGTCGGGCTGGGTGCAGCTGGAGCAAAACGTCTTTCCCCTAATACAGACTGCACAACAAACCTGCAGCTCCTTCTGTCTGTCAGAAATCCTGTCCGTGACTCCAGTTTAGATGTCACGATTTGCTAACGTGAGTGGGAACTTGGAGAGGTTTGTTTGATCTCTGAGTGCAAAAAGGACACAAAGGGAATTCAGTTTAAATCACAACAGCAATAATGTACCTTTATTTTAGTGCCAACAAAAGGGTTATGCGATAGAGGAGAGGGAGAGAGAGAGAAAGAGGTAAAGAAAACAAAGTAAAGAGAGAGAGAAGAGGAGGTTATAGCTACCAACAGACAAGACGGGGTCTCTGGGGTCTTCTTCCACAGGGCGATCTCGCCACAATTAACTTAGTCTTATGTAATTCTTCCCCAGAGTTACCTTGTTTCCAATGTGCTAATAAACATCCCAAACCAGAAGCACCTAGTATGTGAGCATTGCTGCCCAAAACCCCTTTAAGCTTCTCCATGTCACAACTACAATACACCACAAATGCCAATCCTGCAACACTTTCACAGTTGTCTGACGGACGGCGCCCAGGCAATACCAACAGGAATTCCTTTAGCCCAACCAAGCACAGCTTTCGCTGTGTCCTATTGGCAGGCACCCAAACCAAGTAAAGCACCTTACCTTTCTCTCCTGGGGACGCTGTGAGCAGCGGAGAAGGTTGCAGCCAGATGGACTCCCCGAGAATCCCTCGGTGCCGGCTGGAGCAGGATCGGGTCGCGAGCTCGCTCAGCAGCACTCACAAGGACCCACCTGGGTTGCCAAAATGTTAGAGTTCAGGAACACACATCATCACAGAATGATTATATGAAGATGCTTTATTGAAGAGCTCTGGGTATCAGGGGTACCCGGTTTTGAGCTAAACATGTTTTTATACTCTATCATTATACAACTTACATATTAATTATTAAACTTACATTGTTCTATTGTATGCATTGTTTTTACCCAAGCATGGATTTCTCGTGATCCCCCCCAGCCCCCTAACATTGTTCTTCAAGTTCTTTAAACAATAATTATATCTAATCACATCTAACAATTGTATCATTTATCATATATTGATTACACAGGTGCAGTTTCACCCGATCTTTAGCAGGCACAAGGCCTAACATTTCTCAGGGCCTACTTTTCCTGGGCTTGGCAAACCTAACTTTCTAAGTCCCCAAATTTTCTAAGATTTTAAAACCTTTTACTATCAGCTCTGCCCACCTAAGATACTGGACACTCTAAATTATTTAAATACAAAAATTAAAAGAAGAATAATTAGGGTAATTAGGGTAATTAAATACAAAATTGGTATTTTAGTATTAAAAAGAAAAGCACATGATAATACGATAATCCAATAAATGATACTATCTGGAGCAACTGAAAGAATAAAGGCACTGGCTAAAACTGGCCATAAACATCCAATCAAAAACAGGATGTACATATATACACATATACAACCTTCGGGTAACTTACAATAGTGTATTGGTTTTGGAAGACAGGTGTCTGCTAGGGAGGGCAGGAGCCTCCCCTGGAATGAGAAATGTCGACCCCCTCCCTCCGGATTATTATAATTTTGAAATCAAGGGGCTTTCAGGCAGAGATCTGGGGAGAGAAATAACAGTTCTTTACTAGTATTTATAATAAGGCAAACAAAGAACAATAACTACAGCATTAGCAAGAAAACAGAACCAGGGGCCCCATGACAGCTTTCTGGGCTGAGACGGGAAAGGATGGAGGAGAGGCTTTGTTTCACAAACCCCCTCGGGTGGGCAGTCAGTGCCAGTGCTCCTGCAGGGCTCTGAGGAACACTCAGCTGGAACAGCAGGGATGNCTTTTCCCGTTGCTCAGGGACTGAAGTCATTCCCCTGCTGCACTCTGGGGTCTCTCCCACTGGAGACTTCTTCCAGAACTTCTCCAACCTGAGTCCATTCCATGGGGAGCAGCCCCCTCACAGTGTTGCAGCGTGGGTCACTCTGCCATGAGGTCAGTGCTTCCAGGACAGGAGACTCCAGTGGGGGCCCCTCTGTTCACAGGTGTCCCCCGGGGTCACAGCCTCATCTCAGGCATTCCCCTGCTCCAGTATAGGCTTCTCCAGGGGCTGTGGGTGTACCTCTGCATCCAGGGGCTGTCAATCTGCAATTCCCATTGTTGGTCTGTATCCAGATGGATGCTCCTGCCTCTGTTTTCATCCAGGTGCCAGGGAGATGTGGAGCCTCCCCGCCAGGTGTCTTCCCAACACGGATCACCAGGACCACGGATCACCAGGGCTCTGCCCAATGGGGGTCACTGGGGATCATCCAACGCCCATCCTCCCATGGGGGATGGAGCTGGAGCAGCGCACAAAGCTCTTCCTGCACTCGGGGCACTCGCAGGGCTTCCCTCACTGGTGCCTCCATTGGTGTTGGGTCAAGTGAGAGCTCCTGGAGAAGCTCTTCCCACACTGGGGACACTCGTAGGGCCTCACCCCAGTGTGGATGTGCCAGTGCCTGATGAGGGTGCAGTTTTGTGAAGCCCTTCCCACAGTCAGGGCAGTGGAAGGGCCTCTCCTCTGTGTGAATCCACTGATGTTTGATGAGACCTGAGCTCCTTGGAAATCCCTTCCCACACTCAGGATGCACTGGTGTGCCCTGAGGTTGCAGCTCCAGCTGAAGCCCTTTCCACACTCCCCACACGTGTAGGGCTTTTCCCCTGTGTGTATCTTCTGGTGATGAATCAGATTTGACATCTCAGTGAAGCTCTTCCCATATTCCCCACACTCGCTGGGGCATTCTCCTGTGTGTGTATGTTCTGGTGCCAGATCAGGTGGGAGCTGCGACTGAAGCTCTTCCCACTTTCCAGGCTTTTTCCCTGTGTGGATCCTATGGTGGTTAATCAGGACAGAGATCTTCCTGAACCTCTTCCCACACTCCCCACACTCCTAGGGGCTCTCCCCAGTGTGAATCACCTGGTGCCAGATCAGATGGGAGCTGTTCTTGAAGCCCTTCCCACACTCCCCACACTCCCAGAGCCATTCCCCAGGATGGATCCTCTGGTGTTCCCTCAGCTTGAAGCTCCAGCTGAAGCTCTTCCCACATTCCAAGCATTTGTGGGGCTTCTCCCTGCCATGAGCTCTCTCCCCCAGCTCTGAGCTCCAGCAGGATCTCCAGATGCCTTCCTGGTACAGGGGGGAATCTTTCCTCCTTGCAGCTCCCTGGGCTGGGTTTGCAGCCCCTCCTCATGCAGGATCTCCAGGGCTTTTCCTCCTCTTCCTCCATCTGGCCATGGCTTGGGAATGACAAATCCTGGTTTGGGGGTAACCAAAGTGGGAGTGCTGTGGAGTAGAGGCTCCTCCTGCCCAAGTCCATGTCTAGAGCTCAGCAGGAGTCTTGTGTCCATGAAAATATCCAAAATATCAAGATTCAGCCCCAAAGAAAGTCTCCCAGGAGTTCCCCATCTCTTGTCTTTCCACTTTTGGGCTTCCAGAGGTTTCACTTCCCTGGGATGATGGGGGTCCAAGGGCTCCAGGGGTTCCCCCTTCTCTGGGGTCCTCCTTAGCGATGATCCAGGGGCTTTTGGGGGTCCATGGGGTCCCTTCTCCCCTGATCTCTGCTTTGAGATCCCAGGGATCCCAGGAGTCTCTCCTCTCCAGGCTCCCACCTCTCCAAGCTGCCAGGGTCCCCCAGCTCTGGGATCGCCCCTCTCTGCTCTCCCCACTCTGGGGGTCCCAGGGGTTCCTCTCCTCTGCGCTCCCAGGGGTCCCCAGGACCAATGTCCTCCCCCAGCCAATACTGGGCAATGGCCATGTGGACCCCAAAGATCCCCCAAGGGGCTCAGCTTTGGGGTCCTGCAAGATCCAAACCTACACACACAGAGGATAAAAACCTCCCAGGGACGCCAGACAATATTTGGGGCTCAATTCCGCAATCTGCAAGTTCCAAACACACCCCAATAAAAAGACCCTCTCAGGGTCCCCCTGACAGATTTGGGACCAGCTCCCCCTCCCTGCTCACCTGCAGGATGAGGTGGGGGCGATGGGCCCGTGGCCGGGGGTGCTGCGGACACAGAGGGCACTGGAACCTCCAGCTTCTCCTTCTATTCCTGTTCCTGCTCCTCCTTTTCCTTTCTCCCTCCTCCTGCTCCTCCTCCTTCCTAATCCCACCTCCTCCCCAGTTCCTGCCTTCTGTATATTTACAGTGGAGAACCTTGCTTGTTTTTAGAACTAGAACAAAGATTCCAGATGGAACAAGCCTTGCTGGTTTTATTCAGCAGTATCAGTGACTACAGGTTGTGTTTGCTCTGGTTTGGTGCTGTCCTCGTTCCTCCTCAGTGCTCAGGCTGGGCTATGGGGTGTCCTTGTTTGCTGCATTTTCAGAGTTCCTCTTGGATCCTTTGGGCAATAGGCCGTGCCCTGGGAGGATTCTTTGTGCTCCTTTGTGACACAGGAGAAGCTTCCAGGTGGTTTTTGCGTGAGCGGCTGCTGTGGTGTCACAGGAGCGTTGCCACGTCCCCGTGGTGTTCCCGTTGCTGTGGGACACGGAGGCCTCAGTGTCCAGAGCGGCTCTGGGCGCCTGCTCGTTGCCAGAGGATCCTCCTGCCCGAGGCATTCTCAGCAGCCAGCCCAGCCCCTGACGGGTGTCCTTCTGTGCTTGCAGGGGTACAGTCTGCAGACGTGTGCAGCGCAGCCAAAATGATGCAGCAAGTGGTTGCTGCAGTTGGCACTCTGTTCTCTGTGGCTTATTCGGGGTATTTTTTAACCCACTTGGCACGTAAGTTGAGGTTTTCCCTCGGTGCAGCCTCTGTGGCTTTGGGCTTGCTGTGTGCTTTCTGTTCTTCCACTGGAACGGAGTTGACTCTGTAACCAAATTGCCCTGAGGACAGGGTTGGTTTGGGAGAGCTCCTGCCAGCAGCTGCAGCTGAAAAAGGGGGTGTCTGCAGCCAGCGGGGCGTGCACAGCATTTGCAATGAGGCCTGGGGGGGTTCTGTTCCCTCAAGTGGGGAGTCTGTGGCAGCAGAGCCTGGAACTCCCTCCGTTTGCTGCTCCAGCCAAGAGCTGACACAGCCCAGTATTTTGTGCTGTGTTGGGGAGGGTGAAACAGGGAAACCTTATGAATGTGATTGTTTGGCAGAAGATTCTGAAAATATGAAGGCTAGAATCAAAGTAGAAATGAAAGCCTGCTTTGAGTCCAAGGATACTGAGTACTGGTTAACCAAAGAACTATAGCCTAGCCAGCTAAAGGAGAATCCCTGTTGATAAAACAATGTCCTTCTGCTGATAGAAAGTTCAAAGGTCAAAAAGCAAGGAAAGAACTTGGAAAGCTTGTAGAGCCTAAAATGCAACACTGTATGTTAATATAGGGAAGCACATAGGCTGGATGTAAATTCTTTAGTGGGTGTGTCTCATGGTGATTGGTTACTAAGAATTAGAATATTCACTATAGAAAAAGATATATTGGATTGTAACAAGAACTTCGCTCTCTTAACTCTTACCTCTTAGCTCTCTTAACTTTTCTCACCTACCTCTGAACCCCTCTCCCTTACCTCTTACCCCTTTACCCCTCTCCCCCACTCTTAACTCTCAGCTCCCTCTCCCTGCTCCTACCCTTCTCATCTTCCCTGCTCTCTCCCTCTGGTTTTTCCCTCTTCCCCTCTGTTGCTCTCTTCCCCCCTCCCTCCCCTTTCCCAACCTCACTTCTCCTGCTCTGCAGGCTCTCCCTCCTGCCACTGACCACGTGGATGCTGAGGCTGGTGGTGGACACGGGTCTCCCATCTATTTACCCTTATAATAAATTGCTTATACTTGAACAGCTTGACCCTGGAGAAGTCTCTCACCGCAAACAAGCGTTTTTACCCTCCAATAGTGCTGCTCTCTTGCTTGCTGTGTGAAGGGCCTGTGGCTCCTGGAGGGATGCTGTGAAAGCAAAATGCTCTCTCGGGCTTGCCTTGCTCATTTCCCACCACAGGCAGTTTTTTCCTAACAGCATCTGGTTCACGTTCCCTCTCCCGTTGCAGGGCACCTCACGCGTGGATCCCCAGCAGCTCCTCCTTCGGTGAGTGGCAAAGGAAGCTTTGGTGCTCAGAATTGTGCAGCAAGTTGTGAGCTCGGCGTGTGGCAGCCGAGTGCCAGCCTGGGAGGCTGAAGGGAAGTTCCTGTCAGTGTCTTTGCAGCAGCAGCAGCAGCAGCAAAGAGATCCCTGGCAGTTTTCTCTGTTTCTGCTGAAGAGCTTTTGAAGAGCTGCAGGACTGGTTTTGCAGGCAGAAGATTGCTTGCTGGCTTTAGCCATGCTGGAATATGGAATTCCCAACAATAAGTGGCAATGTTGTCTTTAGCCCGTTGTTAGTTTGAACAGCTCTGAACCCTATTTCTGCTTAGTGCAGCTGGATGTGTAGCTGAGGATAAAGAAGGTGATAACTGAGATAGAACTTCCCGTCCCTCACGCTCCCGTCTGTCCACAGGGCACCAAAGCAGCATCAGCACCTCCTCTGGCTCCCTCTGCTTGCAAAGAGGAGGCCAAAGACGAGGAAGAGAGCAGTGAACTTCCCGCTGTTCTGGGAGATGAGGGCGAACACCCCGCGGTTTGGGAATACAATGGCGAGGCTCCTGCGGTGTGTGACAAGGACAGTGGACATCTCCCAGTGTGGGATGAGGACGGTGGATGTCCCCTGGAGTGGGATGAGAATGGCCAAGCTCCCATGGCGTGTGAAGAGGATGACGGCAACTTCCCGGTGTAGGATGAAGACAGAGAACATCCTGTGCCTTAGGGAAGAGGAGGGTGAACATCTTCCAGCATGGGAAGTGGACAGAGAACATCCCGTGGCTTGGAAAGATGATGGTGAACCTGCAGCATTTTGGGAAGAGGACAGAGAAGCTGCAGAGTTTCGGGAAGAGGATGAGGAACCTGCAGAGTTTTCGGAAGAGGACGGGGAACCTCCTGCTCTTGAAGAAGACACTGAAGCTCCCTGTGCTGCAGGATCCTGGGCTGAACATTCTGACAGCAGCACAGCCCTGCAGCCAGAGGGGAGCGGGGAGTGGAGCCTGATGCAGCTGAGTACGTCTGCTCTGTTCCTGTGTGCCAGAGCAGGGTGTGTGTGTGTGTGTCTCAGCATCAGCTGCACCCAGTGTTGCTCTGCAGCTGAATGGCACATTATTGTCCTTCCCCAGCTGAGAGCAAGGGGCTCCCGGCCCCAGGGAGTGGGGCTGCATTCTAGCTCTCATCTGGGAGGGAGCATCTTCCCCCTGGTTTCTTTCAGGGAACACCGTGAGCGTGGGGGAGCCTGCCGAGAAATACCTGGAACTGGAGCAGATTGGCCAAGGGTAAGTGCAAGGCAGTTACTTCTGCACAAGCAGGGCCCAGGTATTTTGCTGGTGCAGGATCCAGTGAGAAGTCAGGAGAGCTCCAAACCCCTTCAGACACTGGGGTACGATGCTGCTGTCTCTCAGTGCTGATCAGAATTGGTAACTGTGCTCAGAAGGCACCGTCAAAGGCCCCTGAGGCTGGCAGTGTCCTGTCTGCAGCAAGGAGCGGGACCTGGAAGATCTTCTGTCCCTGCAATTAGATTGCCTAAAAGAGCAACTCACCATGTAGTGACTGTAAATGTAAAAAAAACAGTTCTCAAGAAGATTTCTGTAGATAATATTCTAACAGAACGTGGGCATGAAAGGCCTGTCTGCACAAACCAGCCTCTGGAATAAGTTGTGATATTAAAGGCTAAAGTGCTTGAAACTTTCCAGCACAAGAGAGAGTAAAGCAAAACAATATCCATGTGTACAGGAGGAAAATGTAAACCTGTGTGTATTGGCCAATGGTAACTTGCTTAGCCCGCGGACCCTGTAGAACCCCATAAGAGGTGTGCTAAAGATAGAAATAAATGACGTTCACTTTTACTTCTGTGAAGGGTTGTGAATAGCTGGCGATCTCTCAATAGTATCTGGTCTCATTCTCCACAAAACTGCTTCCATCTGTAAACAGCTCCCAGTCTGCCTGTTCCAGTGGGACGTCTTTCAAATCTGCTGTAGCTGAACATGTGTGTTCTATCACTTCCACACAATCCAGTGGGCCTTCTTCAGTTGTGGTACCTAGGAACAAAGCTGGATTCAAAAGGTTAGTTGTCTTTAGTGGGACATCATCCTGCTTGGTTGGGATTACCTGGAATTTCATCATCCTGCTTGGAGATAGCCAATGGCTCCCCTTTTGTTCTAAAAGTGGTCACCATGTGTGGCACATAGACATCTATGTGTCTACCCATCGTGAGTTTCCTGGCTTCTTGGATCAGCATCACAGTGGCTGCAGCTGCCCACAGGCATGAAGGCCATCCAGCACTCACGTTGTCAAGTTGTTTGGAAAAGCAGCCTACCGGCCTTTTCCACCTTCCCAAATGTTGGGTCAGCACTCCCAGAGCTAGGTGTGATCTTTTGCACAAACAGCTGAAAATCTTTGGATAGCTCAGGCAATCCTAATGCCGGAGCCATTGTCAATGCCTCATTCAGTTTGAGGAAGGCCTCCTTCTGTGGTTTGCCCCAGGTAAGCGGTTGTGTCTTCTGGGCTTCATACAGGGGTTTTGCAATTAGTCCATAGTCTGTGATCCACAGGCAGCACCACTCTGTCACCCTGAGGAAAACTCGCAGCTCATGCAGGTTCTGGGATTCTGGAATGGCACAAATGCCTTGAATACGGTTAGTACCCAGCTTACGTTGTCCTTGTGAGATTTCACACCCCAGGTAAATCACAGTCTGTTGGGCAATTTGTGCCTTTTCTTTAGACACCTTATATCCTCCCATTCCTAGTTGATTTAAAATTTCAATTGTTACCTTTATGCAGGCTGTTTTCTCTTCTGTAGCTGTCAGTATATCATCAACATACTGTAACAGCAGGTATTGTTCTCTTGGAACTTGCCCATTCTCAGTCCAAATCTCCAGCTCCTTCACCAGCTGGCTTCCAAATAGGGTTGGACTGTTCTTGTATTCTTGTGGGAGTCGTGTCCAGGTGAGCTGGGTTTTCCTTCCATTGTCTGGATTTTCCCATTCAAAGGCAAACAGTTTCCTACTTTCTTTGTCAAGGGGTGTGCAGAAAAAGGCATCTTTTAAATCAATTACAGTAAACCATTTCTATTTCTCTTTTACGGATGTTAACAATGTGCAAGGATTAGCTACCACTGGGTAAATATCTTTAGTTATTCCATTTATTGCTCTCAAATCCTGTACTAGTCTGTATTGGTCAACACAGAAATTTGGGCTCTAGTGTTAACTACAGAAGTAATAGGTGCACGTTTAGGACCCACTATTGCTGTAATCAGTATGTCTCCAGTTTTGTTATTTCTAGTGAGCATTTTAAATACAACCAGCCTCTGCCTCTCTGCTCACCCGAGAGGCAGAGTTACCAGTTTCCCTGATTCTGAGGCTGTTTGGACTCCACTCCCAGAAGCTGAGAAGAAGACTGCTTTGGCTGACAGCCCAGAGCCTGTGGAGGTGTGCTGGGTTATACAATGGGGTATTCGATACAATGAACTTGCGCCTGCGCAAATTAAAAACTACTTTGCTCAACTTATAAGTGATAAGCCGTCTATTACGTTTCTGGGGACCCTCTTCTTTTTCTCTAGTGACCACCCATACTAGCGGTTAGAGATTTGTTTTCCCTTTTCTGGGAAAACAAATTTGTTAAGAGAACCAATGTATCTAACACCCTTTGCTTTCTCTGATTTTCTTCTGGGATGTTTTTACAGGTCCATATTTTCTACTGCAATTAATTAGCTCTTTTTGAGGTTAAATTTGATTAATGAGAGGGGTTTCCCTCTCTTCTGTTTCTTTTAGCGAGTCAGCATTTTTTAATTTTTATTATGGAGGTCTGCTTGCAACAGATTGATCTTACTCTTTTCTTCATTTAATTGTTTTTGTAAAATTTTAACTAGGTTTTGGAGGGAGTCTATTATAGTTCTTTCCTCACTTCTTTGCTTAAAGCTAATTTATATAGCTGCTGTAAGACAAGCTCCCAAAACTGAGCAGAGTATAGTTTTATTTTTGCCCAGTTTAAATTTTGTTTCATGTTGTAAAAAAGCATACTCTATCAATCAAATTTTTCAAATTAAACCAGTTACTAAGCACCCACTCTTCC